ACTTAATTAATCAAATTATGTTTTTTGGTATTTTCTTACAAGCAACATTTGTTGCTAAATACAGCTTAGTTTTTTAGATACTAAAGTAAATTATGAATAGTAAGATGCCTTAGAGATAAGTCATCATATGTCTTATTGCATTTCATGAAATAGTTTTTTGGACTTCTTTATTTTATGTAAAACTTCTAATTGAGCCGTTTTAAGAAATATTTTATGGCATAATAATAGTAAATATTTTTTGTAAAATTATAATTTCAGATAAATGTTATATAAGAATATCTATAATCTCATAACAAATATACAATAAATCTTGTAAAAGATATGATCAACACTACAATTTAGGCTAAATATTATATCACAACAAATTAAATTTTATTTAAAATATATAATTTTTTGTTCAGATTTATGAGGATATTTTTAGTAATTTCAAATCTAATAAAGTGTATTTTTCAAAACTAAAAAAAATAGGTATTTTTCAAATTTAAGAAGCCAAGAGAGGTATTTTTCTAAATTTTCTCTAAATTATATATCCTGAGAAATTGTTATTTTTTCATGTGGATAAGTTATCATGCATGGATATGTTATTAGTTTAGTTTATATATCAATCAAGTAATATCGTAGACAATTTAGTGCGACAAATTATCGTAGACAAATTTATTTATGTCTACAAGAACAATGTTCATAATCAAATTGGATGAAGAATCATATCTTCTCCTCTGAATCCAATCACGAACCCCATTCCCATACCTAATATTTGTTAATTTGCCAAAATAAAGTAGAACTAATACTGCGTACTCGTTAGGTTCATTACCATTATCAACTATCTTCTACTTTGAGGCTCAGGCATTATATACATCAAACATCTTAATTAAGTTTACAAAACAAAAGAAAAGGTTGTTTCATTATATGAAATATATACTTGCATATTCTACAGTTTTTTTTCTTCTTATATTGAGGGAGCAGACACATGCATTTCAATTTGCATGGCTTATATGTGTCCTATGCATCACGTGCTTCAACCTCCTCCAATTCCCCATTCTAATGTAATTAAAGTATTTAGTGAAGGAGCGGACACATTTCAGTTTGCATGGCTTATTCAAGTGCATGTGTCCTACGCATCTCGTGAATTTTAACAATAGTCTTTAATCATAAGACAAGAGATTTGTCCCTTTGGAATCATTTTAAATCACCCTTTTATATCAAATGTATATATAACCAACATGTTCCTTTTTTTATAAATGTTAAGTAATTCACTAACAAGATTAACATAAACCGCTATATTATATGTTCTGGTCATGGCGATGTATAAATAACGCTTAGGCAATGTTTAGGCGTAAAAACGGATGTAGGTATCAGAGGGAGGAGGGGGCAGCTGTCCCCGTGGATTCTAGTAAATATTTATTAAGTTGTACGTAATCTATAATCATATGTGACAGAAGAGATTAGATAGATATGTTGGTTGTTGTCTTCATTGTTTTGGGTTGGAGTCTTGTTTCTTTCTATATATATATTAATCTTCTATAGGTTGTAAAGATAATTATCCGTCTACACCCCACCAGTATTCCCAAGTATACAATTAGACACTAGTATAATTCAAAGGAAAAACAATAATATTTAGCATATATTTCTTAATTACATTTATATAAAGTTTATCTTCATTAAATTTAATCGGTTACTAACAAAAAAAATATATTACTTAATCTAGTATCACCAAACATACAAATACAATAATGTAACTATCATAAACTGAATTTTTCTATATTTTGTTGACCTTTTTTTGTGACGACAAGATATAACATGAAATTTCAGTTTATGATATCTTACGTTATTAACATTGTTAGAAAAAATCACAAAACATCTAAATTTCTCTTTTTTATTGCTAAGAACATCATCACCATCATCTAAATTTTTTCCTTGTCGAGCTTTAGTTACTACGATTTAGGACCTTCAATTTTCATTTAATTATGACTTCATTTTCATGTGACCAAAGAAGTGTATACGAAATCTTAAACATCCCAATATGTTATCTTATTATTATCATGGGAGTAGTTTTTCATAGATATCATGACGAATGTGGAATCATGAAACAATCTCGAGACTAATTCAATAATTACGTAGTTTCAGTGGCCAAAGATGAATGTAGTACTAATCAAGCCCAATGTGATCCATTTGGTAAAGAGGTTTATATATGAAGCCTAAAGAGCCATGAAGACTTCCAAGAAGAGTGGCTTTAAGATTTATGTATAAGAATATATTTTATGTATTGTGAATGCTCCTAAACGTAAAACATTTTCATGTATAACTGTTTATCAATTCGAAGTTACCTGTCTGATGTTTCAATAAATGGATGATTTATCAGCAGGAACATGAATGGCAATATCGTAATCTTCCATCACGTCCCTATAATAAGCAGCAAGAATTAAAAATTGTTCGAAGATAAACCCAATTTTTGAAATCGGATTCTTCCATTATCTAACTCACTAGTCACTATTCGTTCGTTTAATAAGAGTTATCACGAACGCAACAGTAAACCAGAGAGATGATTTCAGACGACTCTCTACAAATCCCCTTTTATATACACATGAAAACCATATAACTAAGAGCAACAAAGTCGTATTTCGGATTTGAAGCCCCGAGAACCGAACGTGAGATGGTTCAGTTTTGCTCTATCAGTCCATTCTTTGCCGATCAAATCCTCTTGGAGTCCTCCCTTACATTCACATCTACAATAGTCTTGCTTCCGAGTAGCTCCTCTGCCTTAAGCTGACAACTCGTAGTCATGTCTTTATAGTTGTTGATAATGTCAGACTCGGGATTGAGTTGTGTTACAGCCATGGCTAGCTCTTCTCTAAATATCTCGCTTTCTACGTCAGGCAAGTTCTCTTGAGTTTCTTGATCCTGAAGCAACTTCAGCTTCTTTACGAATTCAGCTGCTTCGAGCTCTCTTTGTTGTTTTAATTTCCTCTTTTTCATCAATCTCTCCACAAATCTTTGATCTTTGGCTAACTTCGCAAAGAAACCGAGCATATGTTGCTGTTTAGATTCAACTCCGTGGATCTTCTCCTCAACAGTGATCATTTGCTGGTGAGATTCCTCTTGTTGTTTCTTCAACTTGAAGATCTCCAAACTCATTGAACTCTGTTCCTCCTTCAAAGACTCGACTTCGGTCTCACTCTCCAACCCCAACCCGGTAGTGCTCGCGTCTTTGTTATAGTTGATTTTGCTCCTCCTCTTGATGTTCTTAAGCAAATGTTTCTTCCCTTGTTGAAATCCTTCGTTAGCAAATTCCCACCTATCTGAATCAACCTTCCTAAATCCCTGTTAAGACGTAGTTTTTCGAAAAACGATCAGACTCCATGGAACAAGATACAGATTAGGAAAAAAGCAGAGTGGATAATAATAATAAACAAGGATATACAGTACATCTTAAGTATTAAGAACGATGATCAATGATATAGTAAACTAATGTAACTAAGAGGCATTTCATCGAACACTTGGCAGACACAACCCACGAAAAAAGTAAGGTCCTTTAAAATCGGTTCTTCTGCTTACGTAAGTGTTGAGCTGGCGAACGAAACTGGAGAAATTCCTGTGCTTGAAGTATTTAGGAAGGAGATTCTCCGAGAATATGTAAGAATCCCAAACGATAAAGCTTTTCCGGGTCGGGCTCCACGATACAACCGGGTCGGTTACTGCGTCATCAACAATCTCAAAAGTCTTTCTCAAAAACGGCATCGGACCCATCTCGCGCAATCCCTCCGTTGCCTTCGGTAAACCCACCGACGGCAAGTTAACGGCGTCATCGGGTTTCAAACTCTCAACATATGACGAAGACGAATCAGACGAGCCACCGACTCCGGTGGTTACGGTTGTATCTGTTATCACCGTTTGCTCTCCGTTAACGGTAACGGTTTCCGCTTCCGGTGAAGACGAATCTTTATGTTCGGTGCCATTTATGCAGACGATTTGTTCTTTCTGCTTCTCCATTGCCGACTGACTACAAAAGGAAGAGGAACGGAGACAAAATTTCTATTTGTGGAAACAAAAATGAGTCGCCACGTGTCGCTTATGAAACTTCTTTGTCGTTTATGAGAAAAATATATTAAAACAAGACCCCATTATCTGTAGGAAACTATTACTGCTTTTAACCCACTTGTTTTACATATAACGAGATTAACACCCATGCCACATTTGGATTGGATCTTTCCTCATGTGGTCAAGATGAATCGGTCTAAAGGGAGTAATAAATAGTGTGGTAGGAAAAGGAACCGACCGTCCGTTGTATCTAGTCTCATGCATCAATGCCACATGTGGCCTAAGAGAAGAAACACATCAGTTAGGTTGAGTCTTGACTTGCCTAAGGGTATACATGGATAGGCTTTGGAAACAATAAATATATTCGCGG